GTATTAATAAGAAGGCATTAGATTTGTGTATTTAAAAATATAAATGTATAAATGACTATCATAATTAATAGTCTTCTTCAAATGCAACTAGAGACAGCGCGTCACCCAACCAAAAATATAACCTGGGACCTATTAATTACCAGGACGAGAAAAGCTGGGACTTTTTTTATTTGACTAAATGATAATAGCCAGACTGCTTTCAGGTGAGTTTTTTTATTCCATCTAGAGTACTGCATTAACTTATATAATAAAGCAGCAACAAATTTATTGTAAACAACATTTGACTAACTGCACAATAGAGTACAAACACTAAAATTGTGCAACATAAATACCACTAAATACTGCTATTAAAATTATGCTAATTTTATTGTTTTCTACTGTTTAATTATTGCACTATTTTGTAGTAAATAGTGGAAACTGTTGCACATATTTAATGTTTGTACTCTACGTAGGCTTAATTATCATTTAAGTTTGTGGATATGTCCACAAACAATCCCCCTTATGGCGAAATCCATGCATGTACAGCTGAAGTTGTGCACACAGGCATCACAAAGAGGGTATTTAAGGGAACAGGGGCAAGGCTCAGAGGAGATTTTCTGCACGTGGTATGATTTTCCTAAGGACAGCACTTCCCATTCATTCTCATTTTTCGCTGTGATGTTCAATTTCAACCCTTTTTCGTGTCTCTTTGCACTTTCCCTGGACTTTGCTGCTATTTTGCCCTTTTCTGCTTTAATCCCTTGTTCCTATGCTTTTTTTTGTTCGTAGCTATTTTCAATAATTTGTAAATGACATGATGAACCCTCATATTTTGTTTCCTTTCTACGTATATGTCTTTCAAAACGTGATGGAAGCTTTCAACCAGCATGTTGGTATTGGCTTTTGTACCAATCCGATAACACGTAGGGAAGGGTGAAGAGAATTTCCTAGAGAACCATTGCTGTTCTCTCTGGTAAAGAAGAGGAGCAGTTTTACGTCTTATATGAGCTGACATCATGACAAGACAAAGAAAAAACTTTATCTTCCCGCAAAAATTACAAATAGTTCGAACTTTAGTTCCCAGGCATACTCATCCCATGAAAATGTACAAGGCGTTCCTGGTAAGTAGGTCCCAGGCTATATTTTTGGTTGGGTGACGTGCTGTCCCTAGCTGCATTGTCTTCTTCATGGTTCCCTGCGCCATCTTGAAAGGTAGCCGTGCCTTTGTTTTGAAGCGAGACAGCCGTTGAGCGTGCAATGATAGAAACCTTCTTTCACACCTACAGACAATTATTCACAGCTTTCTATCATTGCAAGGTCAACGGTTGTCTCCTAGATTTAAAGGCACGGCTACCTTTCAAGATGGCGCAGGGAACTGTGAAGAAGACTTATATATGTATTATAGCCTTATCATATGTCTCAG